ACGACGGCAATAATTATGGAGCCTCCGCATCTTCTATATATATATGTAATGATATTTACACAAAATTCACAGTTATATATATATATATACACATATTATATGATCCCGGCATGAATATATAATCATTTGCACTCATATTCTCCAAATTAAACCAGTGGAATCAGAATCCCTCCGTTTCGGCTCTAGGGTTTGTCTTCCCTCTCTTCCTCGTGTGAAAACACATACCAGAAATCCAGGATTTCCACCGGAAATTCACGAATTCCCGGTTCACAAGCGAGGGGATTTTCCATCTGGGTCTGGAACAGTGATTTCAAGGAGTGAAAAGAGATATGGTGAGAGAAGGGGGCAGCAGCGACGGGAGGGTGGCCGGCGGAGAAGACGAGCTGATGAGCATGGCGGCGAAACCTGCGTGGCTCCAATGTTTGATGGCGGAAACTTTCTTCGGGAGCTGTGGGGTCCACGAGAATCGCCGTAAGAACGAGAAGAACGTCTTCTGCCTGCTCTGCTGTCTCAGTGTTTGCCCTCACTGTCTTCCTTCTCACCGTTCTCATCCCCTTCTCCAGGTATATATATATACATGTATATATATGTGTGTGTGTGTGTGTGTATATACACGTGTATCGATTCCTGTTTGTGTTTACATATTGTGTGAATTCGTAGAATTTCTCGCTGGCCCATGTTTTGATTCCGTGGGGATTCCACCTCTCATGCTTCGATTTATTGTTTTTTTTTCCTTTACTTACACCGATACATAAAACCGGTATATATGTGTGTTCATGCGGAGAATTGTCACCGACCCATGTTTCCATTCAATCGGAATTTCAATTCCAATGTTCAAATTTTTCCGTTTCTCTTCAAGGAAAATAAATCGTGTTTTTTCTCTCTCAGAGATTAAAGGCTTTACATACACCGAGACGTACACCATATATATATATATATACGTGTGTGTATATGCGGAGAATTGTCGCCGACCATGTTATGATTTCCGTTGGAATTTTCATGTAGTGAAAGCTAAATCCAGATTCGGTCTTTTGTTTATCGACCCACGTTTTGATTTTCCGTAAAAGAAAATCTTCAAAAACTTTCCCGGAAAATCCCGTGATTGAAACCCCGAAAATTCACGAGAATTCTCCGGATTCTATTAGATATTTACTAAATAAGAAGCACATGCAATGTAATTATAGAAATCTTGCAAAATCTTTTTTTTTTTTTTGAATTAAGACCCCTTTTTTCAGGAGACCTTTCATTATCATCAACTTTCTTCCTCCCCAAAAATAATAGTTTTTTTCTTGTCCTTTCTATTGCCATTTCCTTCTAGCCTTTCCATTCATAGACCTCTCTCTCTCTCTCTCTCAATTAGATCTAAAATTGAAAATTCCTTGAACCCTAAATGCTAAATTGCACTTGAATTGGATTCCCATTTAAAACCCTTTTGTGTTTGCTGAATTTCTTGAGTTTTTGTTTTTGTTTTTCATGTTTTGGGAACATGGAGTATATAAATTATTGGGAATTATGTAGAGTTATAATTATCTATCATGGAATTATATTCTTTATTTAGATTAGATTTACTCTATATTTATATCTATAAACTATAAACTATATATATATAATTATAGTTTTTTAATATGAATTCTCTCCTGCTTTTATTTTTAGTAGCCTCTCTAGAACATTTGGTTCAATTGCACTAAAGTTGTATCCACATGCATTTATATGTACATGTATTGTGTAAGTGTGTGTGTGTGTATGTATGTATGTATGTATGTATATGCTTGACTGCTTTAGTTTGCATATGATGATGGGTTTGATGAAATGTCCCGTTCTTGATGAATTTGCTTTTGTTCGTATTTGGTTTTGTTTCTATATATAGTATGTCTCTTTCCTCATTATTTTTCTTTTTTTATTTTTCTCGGAAATTATATTTTTTTTTTACTGCATTGGCTAAATTTAATTTTCCTTCTCTGCAAGAACTTCTCAGTTGTTGCTTTCAAAAAATTAAAAACCTTTGACCAAACACCCACTGACTGACTTTCTTTCCCCTTGGCTTCCTATAACTGTTTCCTTCTACAAAAAAAAAAAGCAAAAAATAAAAAGAAAATAAATTTTCTATGTGAAAGTTTAGATCTTTTTTAAAAAATAAATCTTTTTAAAAAAAATCGGGTTTGGGGGGGGGGGTTTGAATTCGGTTCGGTTGTGAGAAATTCGATTTTTTTTTCTAAAATTAATACCGTTTAAAAATTTCGGACCATTCGGATCAGGAAAAATACCATATTTTTCGTTACCGAACCCCCTAATACCAACTAGTAGATATAAAGATATAGGGTATAAGGTCCGATTCTTTTATATATATATATATAAGTAATATAAGGGTTTTAAGGTAAGATCTAGGGTTTAGGGTTCTCAATGAATATAAAGGTTCGAATTTTAGATTTAGGGTTTTTAACCTAAGATATGTGGTCTAGTTTCTAATGTAATATATATACATATATATATATATATATGGTTCGAATCTTAAGATATATCAGAATTTTTAACCTAAGATATATATATGATTATGTAAGGTTTTTATTGAAAGTATTACATAAACTGCAATCAATTTACAATATTCCGAAAATTGAATGATCGTTATGTGTCAAGACTTGTGGAAATAAACGTTCCTGTATTATTCATTCAACCAAATAATGTGTATATATATATATATAGACATAAATATAAAGTGAATCTAATTCCATTAATATATTAGGACATTAACACTAATATATCTAATTTCATAGTTAACTTTCCATAATTTTTAATAGTATGCATTATTGTTTGATCTGAAATTCGAAAATATGGCAGGTGAGACGATATGTATACCATGACGTGGTTAGGCTGAGCGATCTAGAGAAGCTCATAGACTGCTCATATATTCAGGTGAATTGCATATATATATATATATATATATATATATAAAATATACACTATATATGATTGTGTATATATATATATTATAATGATGATGGATAAAATATTGCAGCCATACACGATAAACGGGGCGAAGGTGATATTTCTGAACCAGAGGCCGCAGTCAAGGGCTAAGGTTTCTTCCAATGTTTGCTTCAATTGTGACAGAATCCTTCAAGACCCTTTCCACTTCTGCTCTCTCTCCTGCAAGGTCCATTCCTTTCTCTCTCTAACATTATATACATATATATACGTGTATATATACGTGTGTATATACGTTAGGGCTTGTGAAAAGAGGGTGAAAAAAGAGAATTAAAAGATTGGACTTTTTCACCATATGACAAAAGTGATAAAATTATTACCAAACAAGTTGAACTAAAATTCTTTATCAAAAAAGTTGAACTAAAATTGGAAAACAGCTGTTTCTTTTTCTTTTTTTTTAAAAAAAATCTAATTATTATGATGTATTTTTTTTCTTGGATAACGTGTTTTTTTTTTTCCTTCTTTTATTACAACATGTGGAAGTGCACTAGTCCACTCGAGTGGACTCCTTGCTAATGTTATGAACCAAGGATCGGATTAGGATTAATTTCGGGGTCGAGGATTAGCTATGTGATTTAGAATATACGTTGTTTTTTTCAAATTTAAAGTTCGAATTCGGAACAGAACAGACGTTTTGCATCTCTATTTTATCGGTTGAATTATCTAAATTTTATCATAAACAATTATATATCATATCATATACGAAAATTGCATGTGCATGTTACATATCTTATCTTATAGATTCCTACATTAGGAAAAAAAAATTCCACGTACGTACTTGTTTCAAGTCTTACAAGAAAAAAAAATGTTGTTATTAGAGATATATACAACTATCTCTAATATATATACAAATCTAACACTCCATCGGTTTAATTTTACATGACTTTTATAGCATAGTTTTTTGTTTAAAAACAAATGACGTTTTTATATATTTCATGTACTTTTTTAATATTGTTTTTTCCGGATGTACTTTTTTTTTTAATCAATAATAATCAAATATTTTACATGTTTCAAGATAATAATTCTTTACGCGTTAAAAAAAATGGTATTATAAAATTAAACTAAAAGGGCATATATAATATATATCCCAATAATATCAGAGATAATTATATACATATGCATATATACAAATATATATATATATATATATATATATATATATCTAATTAATAGTTGTATTTGGCAGGTTGATCATCTGGTTTATCATTGTGCGGATCTATCGAGCATTTTGTACAGAATCAACGAATCGGATTTCGCGTTTTCGCGGTTAGAAGGGTTACGGGTCGACATGAACGATCATCAGATGGAGTACAGCGACCGGACAAACCCGTCGGAATCCGGCGACGGCGGGGGCAATATGGTAATTTCAGACCGGTCCGAACCGGTCGACGATGGGAATGCGAATGAGAATAAGAAGAAGAATAAGAAGAAGGAGAGGAATTTCTTGCCGGGAATTGTTCTTTCCCTCGGCAGCAGGAGAAAGGGCGCGCCTCAAAGATCTCCTCTTTCATAACCGATTAAAAAAAATCGATGATACAAAAAAAAAGATTTGATATTAATATTTTTGTGTGTTTTTTTATTATAAATTAGGTATCTTTTGTCACGAATATGACTTTGTTCACCATGAGTTTTTGTTGATGAAGTGAAATCTTATATTTATAATATAGATTTTTATATATATCCATCGATCGGTATAATAAGGTTTTATATATATATATATATATATATATATGCAAGAAACTAACATATGTAGATGATATTTCAGATGTGTTACCCTAGATTATGCATTCCCAAGTTTTTTTTATATCCATCGGTCGGTATGATTAATTAATAAGGTTTGATATTAATATTTTGTGTGTGTCATGAATATATATGAGTTTGTTCGCAACGTGTTTTTATTGAAGAAGTAAAATTTTATATTTATAAAATATTTTTTTTTATATTCATCGGTATAATAAGGATTGATATTAATATTTAATGTGGGTTTTTTTTTATAAATTCGGCAGTTTTTATGACTTTGTTCGCAACGTGTTTTTATTGTGGAAGTAAAATCTTATATTTATAAAATAATTTTTTTTTTATATTCATCAGTATAACAAGGGTTGATATTAATATTTAATGTGTTTTTTTAATAAATTCGGTATCTTTTATGACTTTGTTCACAACGTGATTTTATTGTGGAAGTAAAATCTTATATTTATTATATAGTTTTTTTTTAATATCCATCGGTATAATTGTTACACCCTTATTGAAATCTCTGTCGATATATGGTCCTACATTTATCTCTTTGCCTGTCTCTTTTGATGACTGGCTTCTATTATTATTCCATTATAACATCAAATATGGGATATAAATGAATGACACGATAGGAATATAAGTGATTATTTAAAAAATAAAATAAAATAATTCTTCGTGAAAATGTCTATGCAAAAGTACTGTTTTGGGTATTTAAAATTAATTAAAAAAAGGACAAAATATTAATAATAAATAGGGAATAATTTTCCGAGATTTTAAAAAATAATAATAATTACTCGTAATTTGGGTCTCATCGGGAGGTGGAAGGGACGAAGACAGAGGTTCACGGGAACAGCTTGAGAAAAGCCCTGTCATGAATAACATCTTAAAGTAAAAGTTCCAATATTTTATATATATATATATATATTTTTAATTAGAAATTAATTAATAATTTAAAATAATTCAATAGACTGTCCGTATATTTCATCCATGTGATTATTATAATTTTGGTCCACGATTTTACAAGGGATGATACTTTCTATGATATGTTCACTTCGTAATTTTAGTACTATTTTTTTTAGATTATGAGATGTTTTGAATGTTTGCACATTCAAATTAATTCTCGTTCGTCTTTAGATTATCGCACTAAACGGAATTCTTATGGTAGAATTTAAACACCAGACCTCTGATTAAAGGACAAAGATGTTGAACTATCTATACCAATCCTTCAAATTAATTTTAATATTGATTTTTGACTCTTCTATTTATTATAAAGTATTTTATATCATTTTCAAGATTTGTGTTATATTTTAATTTTAAATATTATTCAAAAATTAGGCTAATAGGATATCTAGTTATTTTTATATTCTATTAGATTTCATTAATTTAGCTTAATGAAAAATATATACGGTTAATTGATAAATTATAAATGAAATATTGTCCTTAGCGAATCAATGATAAGCAAACGCAAAAGTTTTTTTTGTGGTTTTGATGAATAATCAGGATACCAGATAACATAAGCATATATAATTTTAAAAGAAGATCGTCGGATAATGGGTAAAAATAAATAATATATAGAAAATTTTAATAGAATTCCACGGATCAACGTATATATATTTAATAATCTAAAATTTTATCCAGTATTCAGTCAAATTATATTTCTCAAAAAATCGAAAAAATTCAGGTGAATAACTTTCCTACGTTTGGATCTGAAGTTGGGTAAAGATATCAATATATATTTTTTATTTTATAATTATTTAAATATTAGTAACGAGTTGAAATTTATCGCATAGTATTCCAAACGTAGGAAAGTTATTCACCTGAAGTTGATTATTTATTTTATAATTATTTAAGATATTTTATTGAATAACTTAAAACCTTTTATTTTACAAGAAATAAAACCTACAAAACCTTTTTGCTCTAGCAACCGAAGGCAGAATAACAAATAAATAACCATAGTTATTAAAAAAAGGTTAAATTAAAAAAAACAACATAGGACTTGAAGCCTCGTGTGTAATGAGATCATGACGAAGTCTTCAGAAGTGCCACGTGGAAACCCGTTTTAAGATATGGCCCCAAAAAGGGGAAATCTAAATTGATTAGTAATAAGGACCACTTAATTTTTTAATTACAAAGGGTGACATAATAAAAACACAGACATTGAAACATTTATATATATATATATATATATATATATATATGAAATAAAAAAAATGAGAAGATATAAGAGAGATGAAAATCACATGGTCGGTCCACGTATTGGAATATAGGTTACCATATTCGAAACAAAGCTATGCGGAAAGAGAGACATTGCGAAAAGCCAATGGGGTTTGTAGGGTTGGTGGCACAATGGGCAGTTTCCACGTGTCACTTTTCCGACATGCAATATTCCTGTTTTCCACATGCACTTGCCTCTGTATTTCACCGTATATATATGTATGTATAATTATATATGTGTATATATAGTTATAATGGTTTTTAGGAAACATATATTCATAATGTCTATTATACCGTTAAGGTAAGGTTCATGATTCTTATATATATATATATATATATATATATATAATGCAAATGGGGACAATAAATACATTATATATTTTTATTTTGGAGGAAAAAAATAAAGTGACAGAGGACTACCGACCTACCAAAAGAGAGATCTTAAGCTTAGACATGGGTTCCCATGCAGAATTTCTCAAGCTTCCTATTATATATATATATATGTATATATGTATGTATCATGTATGTGTGTGTCTATATTGTATGCTATTTGGAGAAAAAAAGCTTAGGATTTTATTTTTTCTAAACAAAATAATTTCAATATTGAGTTTTTTCATTTCAGTATTTTTCTTTCTCAAATTACCAAATAAAAATATACATGCATGCATATATGTATGCATTTCTCTATGTAGTGAGAATCACATATAAATACCTGAACATTTACAAAATTTTTATATAAATACTTGAATCATAAAATTTTCATATAAATATTTGAACTTTTCTAAAATCTTATATAAATACATAGATTTCTGAAAAACTTCCAAAAAAATCAAAAATACGTTAATAATATCAACTATTTTTATTTGAAAATACCTAAAATTTGTACTTATTTGGAAATTGTTTTTAAAAGTCTAGGTATATATATTTGATTTTTAAAAGTTTAAGTATTTATATATAAATTTTATAGTTTAGGTATTTATGTGAGATTTTTGTAAAAATTTAAGTATTTATATGTTATTTTTTCTATGTATGTATGAATGTATATGTGTAGATCTACGTGGACAATCTGGCTTTCCGAGGTTCAATAGATTCGAGGAAGAGGGAACAGCAGAGTGTGTGGCATAAAGCCTTGATGTGCAGTAAGATATGTTTTCTTAATTTTATTATTTAACTATTTATATATATATATATATATATGCATGTGTATATATTTTTTCAGCTTGATTTTTTTTATCATATGCTTGCAATTGAAGTTTAATGAGTTATTTTGATGAACATTAATTAATTATATAATATATGGAAAATTAATCATGAGGTTTTTGTTCATATAATAGTTCTTTTTTTTATTAAAAAAAATTCAAGTGAGAATAAGGGTGAATGGTATGATAGAAGCTTTTGACCATTAGATTCATATCATTTATGTAAATGGAACCTACATGATGTGACCATGTCTTTTCCATTGTGTAGACTTTACACTCTCTTAGCGGGCCCCAAAAAACTAAAATAATGGAAAAAAGTGAAAAAAAACTGAAGATAAAATAATAATAATAATAATAATAATAATAATAATAATAATAATAATAATAATTTCAATAATAATAATAATAATATAACAAGTAGCCATTCAAAGGTATTTGAGTTTTCATAGGATGTCCCCTCTATATACATACATGAAATGACCATCCAAAACTTATCCAATGGGATATATATATATATATATATATATATATATATATATATATAGAAGACAAGGACAACCTGCAAGAACAAGAACAAGAAAAAGAGCTGCCGATTCTTGATGAGTCCGAATCCTCCGTTAATACCGAGGATTCATCGGAGTACATGGAGACAACAACGACCGACGACATCTCCGATGATGATGATGGGTCGATCTCAGACGAGGAAAGTCTCATAGAGCTCTCCTTACCGAGCGGCCACTACCTCGGAAACTACGGCAATGACGACAATACCATCAAAGGGTACAGTAACAAGAACAAAATGTATCACAAGAACATCCAAGACTTGAGGCTGTTTGATCAGCTTTTGGTCGAAGAGGATAACCTGATCGAAATCGACATCTCCATTGGATCCATCAAGTGTTCGAGGTTTGAGATCCCAGCTTGATGGACATACTACGCTTAGTATTTTTACATCCAATGGAATATATATATATATATATATACTCAAATTTGAGTGGTTCAACCGTTAAGAAAGGTTTTTTCCAATCCGAGTTTGAGTTTTCATCTAGACAGATAAATTCACATAAATTTCTCTGAATCTTTAGAGATGTAGTTGGATCAAATGCTCGATGAATTTTCGAGTTATAAAAAATATATATATATTATTTGTTTTAGTCACTTATTATCTAATCTACCTATAAATCAATTTTAGTATACATATATAAGAATATTAAATTTGTGTTGTACCATTATAAAAAGTGCTTTGATAAAACCAAATAATTTTTTTTTTCATATGAAAAAATTCCATAAAAATAACTCAACTTATCCAAATGTGTATATAATACATTGATTTATAATTCTAAAATAAACACCTAAATTTGATCAATTTATATGTTATTATCTAGTAATAATATCATCGATTCTGTATCTATTTGACATAAATTGAACAACTTAAAGTATTTATTTAACAATTTAGAAATAACAAATTGAGGTATATATATTAATTATTTTAGTCACACATAAATCAGTTTTATATACATACAAGAATTTTAAATGTTTTTGGTTGTATGATTAAAAATGTAAATGTGAGATTAGAGCGATATATTAGTATGATTAAGAAAGTGTTTTGATAAAACTATATTATTATTATTATTAATATTATTGATTGGGGACAAGCAAAAAAGAATAAAATAAAGGAAATGATGAGGGTGGTGATGTCACAGAGGCCATAAGAAGAGAAACTAGCTGGCCAATTTAATCCCTGCAGATTCTGCCATTGAGTCTCTCTCTCTCTCTCTCTCTCTCTCTCTCTCTCTCTCTCTCTCTCTCTCTCTCTCTTGAGAGAGAGAGTGTAGAGTGTAGAGTGTTTTGATGATGGATCTCTGACTGAGCTCGTTCCTCCAAAAGATCACTCTCATTATTCAAAACACTTGTCAGCCTTTTTCTTGGCATCTTTGGACCTCTCTCTCTACTCATCTTGACTGTCCGAAAACAATAAAAAACAAATAAATAATATTTGATTATTACTTAGATTCTAAACCATTCATGATATATCACCTCTACATACAAATAAAAACGAATAAAACCCACTTCTTAACCCTCAATTACAATTGCTGATATACTTCTAATGTATTCTTATATATATACACTGCATAGAGAAGATTTTGATGCCATATAAAAGAGAGACTGAGATAAGGAGAGAGAGAGGGAGAGGGTAGAGAGAGAGAGAGAGAGAGAGAGAAAGAGAGAGGAAGAAAAGGTTAGAGAGAAAGCCAAAGGAGGGCCGAATCATTGTCCTCCTCCCTTTGACCATTACCCCCACCTCACCTTCCAATCTCTCTCTCTTATTATTATTATTATTATTATTATTATTATTATTATTATTTATTAATAAAATAAGAAAAAATAAGTAAAATTTAATAATAAGATTACCATATATATCTTATAATGATTTCAAGTGGAATGTTCACTAATGGGTCATCTCAATTAAGTATTTCTAGATTTTGTTGGTTATTTGGGAGAATGGTTATTCTTAGAACTTAATAATTCTCGAGGAATATGACATAAAATTTTCACATAAATATCTAAACTATAAAATTTTCAAATAAAAACCTGAACTTTTCAAAATTTTCATATAAATTGAAATAAAAATTTATCAAATAAAACCAAAATTCATTAATCTGATCTGATGACTTGACATCAATGAATATTGTTTCATTCGGTAAATTCTTAAAAGTTTAAATATTTATTTGGAAATTTTGAAAAGTTTAGATATTTATTTAAAAAATTTATAATTCAGATATTTATTTGAAAATTTTGAAAAAATTTAGATATTTATATGCGATTTTTTTCTTATATTTTATATTAAATTCATTTATTTGAAGTAAATATTATTCGACTTTATATTTTCATATTTCATTCATATATATATGTATATATATTTAAGAAAATTATATTTATTGAACTCCTTACAACCAGTCAATCCAGCCCAACCCGGCCCGTCAAAAGGCCCACGGTCTACACATATATAACATCATTTGATATATATATATTAGTTTTATTTTTTTTTGGAAAATTTCATTAAAAAAATCCTGATTTTATTGAAAAGTATCAAAATAATATCCCAAATTTCAGTTTGACAAATAAAAAAACTCAACTAGATATATTGTGTTGAACTGATATAAAACATTCAATTTGGCACAATTTATCAAATTGAAGTTTTTATTTGTCAAATTAAAAATTGAAACATTATTTTGGTACATTCCACTAAAATGAGGGTTTTCTTTTTTCTTTTTTAATGGAATCCTCACACCCTTTTAATTACATTGTATCATATGTTTCACAAAATCACTTTATTCATTTACAGTAACACATATTGCATGAGGATTCAAGGATAATGGAAACTGAAAGCAGTGTTATGTAAACTCTTTATACAAAAAAAAAAAAAAAGACATGGTTTTTTTGACAAAAGTCTCAAAACAAAAACTGTAATCAAGACAAGGGTTTTTTTTTTGTCTGCTTCTGTGTTTCATTTCAGAAGTTCCATAACTTGAGTTTTTTTGGTTTCTATGAGAGCAATCTCTAATGCAGAGAGGAAGAGCGCAATGAAATGAACTTACTTGTAGAGCTGTTCCATCAGTTGCTTCAGCTTTGCAACGTCTGCGCCCACTATCTCGGCTTTTTTCGCGCCTTCTTTGAAGAAATGCAGTGTCGGCTGGACGATATTTATCAGTGATAATAAGCACATTGTGGACAGTGGAAATCTAAGTTAAAGCAATGGAGAGGAAGGGACAGAGGGTTGAAAGCTTACAACAGCAGCGATGTTTAAGTTGCTGATAGTGCTTGAAAGGCCATCCTACAGATACAGGAGAGGGGGGGGAAAAAAAAAAGATGTTACTCCCAAATCATTTTGATGCTGATGCAATTTTATAAATGGGATTTGTAAGAAGAGAACGATAAGGCAAAAAACAAACATGGATATGATGCTCAGAAGACAAGAATTTATATACTTTGTGTTGGTGGAACTGTAAGTCAAATGGCATACACGGATATGACATCGACAGTCACTTAGAGCAAGCATTGTCGAAAACTTACAATCAGTTAAAAAAACTTGTTGGATCCAAAATAATTTTAAGTTGTAGTGTCACCCATAAGAATGATTTACCTTGCAGATGCTTCAGGTATCTTTAAGGAAAGGAGACAACAAATATGGAAAATTAAGTTGCGGAATGGTTTGTGTAAACATATAAAACGAGCGCCAATACTAATGAACAAACAAAGACGTATATGCATCGAGTTCGATTCAAAAGAACAATCGATTATTCAACATACCTCGTCAATGTCGACCTTATATGTTGTAACATCGGGATATTTCTCACTAAGCTCCACAATCACCGGAGAAATAAACCTGCCTAAATTCGACCATGGAACAAAAATTATTAAGCCACTCCGGTCGAGAATATCTATAACTCACTCACTTTCTGAGAATATAACTTACAAGGACCACACCATGCAGCAGTGAAGTAGAAGATTGATGGCAAAGATCCATCTGGGGAAACAGATAATTCAATAAACTGGCATAAACAGCAATCCGTGCGAGACAAATTCACTTAGTGTGTGAGATAGTTGGAAAGGAAACCATGACTTTACCTTGAGCTTTGCTCAGTGCATTTTTGAACTCTTCCTCTGATTTCAACACCACAACTTTGGGCTGATCTGAAATCAAAATTGCAAGATTCCGTTAACATCTGAGGAAGGTAAGACATGATTCCTATCAAGCACCACAGAGACTAGTCAGTCATTCAAAATTTGATCTTTCTTCAAACTCAAATTCATCTACCAATTTCAATTTCTTTGAATCTTTAAGCTTCAGCCAAGTTTGAAGATGGAAATTTTGAATGCCAGAGATAACTTCGATGCCATCAAAAATTTGTTTTCTGGATAGCAAATGGCATCAAACCTGATCATATCATTCCTCCATTCAACTCTTTGAGCAGAAAACCGATGACCTAGATCATATCGTCGTCCATACCAAGGCTAAACAATTCCAACATCTACCCAAATACCTAGGGATCATCAGTAAACGTACATAGAAATGGCGAAAACAAAAACAGTAGAACCAAGGAAGCCATTACCTCCGGCAGCGGAACAGAAGCTTCTCCGGACAGGAAGAGAAGCGTTGGAAGCGTTGAACTCAGCGGAAGCCCAAATAGAGGAAGCAACAAACACTGAATTCCTTGCAATCTGCGACGAAATCGAGTTTGGGGCTAAAATTAGGGATCGCACGGAATTCGACAGCGAGGACGAACACGGCGACCGGAGAGTGGAGAATCTGCGTTGAAGAACCTGTCGGAAAATCGACACGTTTCCTTTCATCGTCTCGGGTTGATGAAGGACACAGAGCTTGTCCGATCTCTGTTTCGTAGGTTTAGGGTTCCGCGAAATGCAATGATACGCTTTTTGTTCAGCTTTCTTCTCTCCCGCCGCGAAGACGAACAAAAGAGAGTTTTCAAATTGACCCACTGAAATTTAAAATATTCAAAATTGACCCCAATAGTAAAACTTTTAAGGGAAACAACCCCGTTTTTAACGGCAAAAGAGTTCTTTCGCCTTCTTTCGCCGAGAAAGGTGTCGTCTTTGTCGTAAAATCCAAAAACCCATAAACCCTAAATTCGCAGTTACTGTCTCTGAGCATGCGAAGATGCATTTCCTCGCGAGATCATTGACAAGAACCGTGAAATCGTCACAAAAAACGACCAAGCGATCGTGAATTCTCTCTCTCAGCTGTTCCATTCTACAATCCCTACGAATAGTAGCAGTTCCCGCTGCCGAAGCAGAACAACGAACTCGGAATCGCCGGCTCCGGAGAAATTTCCGGCGAACGAGACGGAGAGGTCGCGTCAGGCGGAGATTCCGTACCAGCCCAAGGCGGCGAACTCGGTTAACTTTACCGGTACGTTAACCAACCTGTGCCGGCACCGTCGTCTCGCAGCGTTCTTCATCTGATTCCGGTTCGGCGTCTGATTCGGACCATAATCTCTGGTTGGTTATGTTTCACTCGTTAGTTATTTTGATCTTCCTTTTCTGGTAAAACCATTATTAAGAACTCATGGTTTATTCTTTTTGATCTGACAATTCTATTGAAGTTTTTCCAATCATTGTTTACAAGTGAAGTCATTGTGATTGAAAAGAAATCATCTACTAGTATCTTGTGCAGTGTATTCTGCTCTTCTTCATTCCGCCGCCTAACTTCTGTTTCTGCGCAGATTTTCCAGTGAATCTGAACTTCCACAGATTGTCCAGAAACAGAATCCCGATGACAGAGGCGACAGAAAAACCAACAATTGTACCGACCATGATCCCGAGACCAAACTCCGAGGACCCTGAGATGGCAAACGGGTCGTTTCCGTTGTCTTCGATCATTTCCGGCCTCTCGGAAGAACATTTTCTCTCCAGTATCGAGCCACACAGCCTTGGGTTTCCTCCGAAGCTTGCCCTTGTAAACGTGTGGAACTGACCGCCGGCTGGAACCGGTCCGCTCAAGTTGTTGTCGGAAACGTTGAACTCCGACAGGAAACTCAAGCTTATCAATGAACCCGGGATTTCTCCGGTGAGATTGTTTCTTGAAACGTCCAAAGTTTCCAACTTTGCGAGGTATGATATTTCATCGGGAATGTTTCCGAAGAGCCGGTTTTCGCTCAAATCAACAGTGTGCAAGAATCTTAGGCGGCCGATCTCCCGTGGAATTCTTCCGGTAAGATCGTTTCTTGACAGGTAAAGCGACGGTTTTATGTTGTTCAGTGTATTGTACTGCCTACTGATTACACAATAAGGCATGAGGAAAACCGGTAGCTCCAGTGGCGGTTGCCCTAAATCCAATCCTTGAAGATTGAAGAAATCCTTCGGGATTTCGCCCGATAGCAGATTCCCAGATAAGCTTATGTAGAAAAGCTCGCGGAGATTCCCGAGCCAACCGGGCACAGATCCCGTGAACCGGTTATCCGAAATGTCCAAGAATCTAAGCTTTTCAGCCTTTGACAACCACGTTGGGATCTTCCCGTGCAAATTGGATCCGCACAAGGCGAGGCTAGTGAGCGCCTTAAACCCTTCGGGATCCATCAGTTCCTCATCATCGGGTAGCGTTTCGTCGAAGAAATTTCCGCAAATAAGGAGAGCCGTGAGGTTCTTGGACGCGGAAAGAAGACTGATGGCGCCTGTAATATTGGTCAGATTGTTGTTGGAGAGTGATACGTAAGTTAAGGAATCCAAGTTGAGAATCTCAGGAGCAATCTGTCCTTGCAGAAAGTTTCCACACGCCCTTATGGCCTGAAGCGATTTGCAAGCATACATGCTCGGAGGCAGAATCCCGGTGAAGAAGTTGTTCCCGAGATCGAGCAAACGAAGACGGGTGAATCTCGAGAAATCATAGCTTGAGATATCACCATCGAAGCTGTTTACCCGCAGAATCAACGATGTAAGATCTGTACAGTTCATGAGAGACTTTGGAAGATTGCCTTCGAGCTCATTGCTCTGAAGGAGCAAACTTTTCAACTTCGATAGATGCCCGATTGTTTCTGGAATCGACCCGTTAAACGAATTGTCCCGAAGCTCGAGATGCTCGAGGTTCACGAGCTGCGAAAACCGGGGGCTGATTGTTCCGGAGAGATGGTTGACGTGTAATCCAAGTATCTGAAGTGTTGAAGCGTTGTAGATCTCATCTGGGATGTGTCCAGTGAGAGAGTTATACCCTGCAAGCAGAACCCTTAAAGCAGAGCATTTTCCGAACCCTAGAGGAATTTTCCCGGAAAATCGATTCCCGGAAAAGTCCAGAGCTTGAACTGATGAGCTTGCTGCGCCATTGCAGATCGATGAAGGGAGAGAGCCATTGAAGTTGTTGTTGCTCAGATTTAGACTCACAACGCTCTCAGTGAGCCGGAAAAATCCGTCTGAGATTTCGCCGTGGAAATTATTCGACGAGAAATCCAAATCCTCTATGAATTTGAAGGGTAGATTCAGAGGTAAGGCTCCAGAGAAACGGTTGTCACTCAGATCAAGAACTCGGAGGAGATTCAGAGAGAATATTTCTCCCGGGAGATCGCCGGTAAGATGATTTCCGGTGAGGTTGAGGTGAGAGAGAGACGTTAAGTTCCCGACGAACGGAGAAATCTTTCCGGTGAGTCCTCGCCGGGGGAGAGACAACCCGACGACTCTGCTGCGGCTGCGGTCGCACCGTACGCCTTCCCACAGACAGCAATCTCCCGATTCCGACCAATTCAATGCCGGAGAGTCCGAGGTGGTCAGATCGCCGGCGAACGACGAGAGCGCGGCTCGTTCGACGGAGTCGCAAGCTTCGAGAGCAGAAGCGAAGAGAAAAACGGAGAGGAAGAGGAAAAAAGAGTTCGGCATAGTAATAACGAGGAAGGTTTCTTCACCGCCGATTCATATCCTCGCCGGAAAATGGATTCGATTTTCGCCGGAGATCTCTGGGGTTTTTTTTTTGGTGGACGTTTCCTATTGTTTATAAAGAAAATGAGGTCTTGGTCTCTTCGCGAGTTAATCAAGAGCCGCGTGTTTTGACTTTATACATATATACATATATAATTTGTAAATTATTTAAATATTTATATATTTTTGTAAATTGGCAAAGCAGACACTCTATTGCAATGCTTCTGATAGGGTCCTTTCTCTATATATATAT